GTTGAAATAACAATTTTAAGAAGCTCGTTGGCTCTCTGAGAGGGGGAATGAGACTCGGGACACATTTCATATTCTATAATCAAACATGTTACAAGATTTAGAGATAGACTTAAAATGCCATTAAGAGGAAGATGATTGTGTCACTCGTAATGTTTCATTGCACATTTCTACACTTTTAAAACTCTTGAGAGGAATCTGGTCCCGGTTGGAAAATTCTTCCTGCATGGTTAAATAAATAAAATAACTCACCGCCGTGCTCACACGGTCACTGGTGAGAACTGGGATAAGAGAATCAGTAAATTGTTCATGTTGGAGCACCACACCTACATGTCTGTGCATCGGCATATCCTCTCCCACTGAGCAGTGGTGAGTGATTTACTCTGCTTCTAACATAATATCAGCAGTTACAAAGGAAACCTTAATTATTGCGTGATCTACTCTGATGAAAGTACCGCAGAGGTTCAATCATAGTCATTATGTTCTGGGGGAAATACTGGAACGAATGCATACTCATGTATGTATGTTTATGCACACACAAAGAGACAGAGACTGAAGACATTAAATGGCACATTACAGCTTGGTTTCATCTCTTTCTCAATGGCATTAAATAATCATTTATTAATAAGAGACAATAAACATTTTACTTTGGGGAAAAAACACCCACAATTAATGCGAGTGTAACACTCAGCTAACCTGCCTCAGCTGGACTTTTTGTCTGGTTTGATCAGATTTTGATCAGCTGTCAGTATCTCTATATTAAAAATGTAACAGGGGTTACTAATAGTGACAAACCCGCAGAGAATTAGCACAAACAGTGCCTTTAATACAGACATCATAAACCACTTGATGACCCACTTCAGGCCCCACTGTGAGCACCTACAGTTAGAAAGGAAAGAAGGAAGGAAAGACGGAAGGGAGGGAGGTTGTGTTGTCTGCTGTACCGTCTGCCGATAGCCTTGGCAGAATGATGGTTTGAAATATGAGCGCTCCACCTCCTCAACTTTGTGTCTCTCTAGTGTCAAATTCTTTCCAGCCACCTTTGTCTGTGATTTTTATCTTTATTTTATGAGTTCCCTTCCTCTGTCTGTCTGCCATTCAGCTTCACACGTTTCCGTTCTCTCACACACACACACACACACACACACACACACACACACACACACACAC